TTCATTATGTGATGCAGAGATAGGGAAATACTAGATTAACAAAATGTGTATACAGCAATAAATAGAATATAAATGTGAATAAACTCTCCACAGGAACAATCATATCTGTTGGACCCTTCGCTCAGGAATAGATAAAAATATAGGGAGATGCGTAAATTGGGGTGTGACTAATTACGACACACGAAACAGTTTACAATACGTTAGTACACAGACTCGTTCAGTATTTTCTTAACGCAAGAATATTAAAACAGCAATGCTTCAACATCTATTTTTCTAAATCCAGCTGAATTTTTGTGTTCTGCCGTAGTTCTGCAGACACACCCTTATCTAATTTAAAGTATTCTTTGTTATGAATAATCATATCAAATCGTAAAAATCGGCCTTCAACATATATTTCGAAGATAATTTATTAAACAATGCGTTAGGTATATAGATTATAGGCGTGATATTAATAACCTACACTGATTGATATAGATCGCAAAAGGACATAAGCTTTAATTTAGCAATTCAGATATAACTAACTGAATTATAAATAGTTTTTAATACATCTGACACGAACACTTGGACGCACGATCAGCCCACGGCGAGGCCTCTACAACTCTGAAGAAAAGTGGACATACATCCAGGCCTCGACTGAGATTCAATCTCACGATACTGGGGTACGAGAGGTCTAAGCCAGGTAATGTTTACATTCTTTCTCATGGAAAATTCGACGAAAATAGGAAATAAAAGAAAATCCAATCAGTAACATTATCTTATCAATATCTCGACTTTCTGACATAGAGTTACAGTCCTACCAGATGCTATAGTCTTTAAATTTGCCAAATCCGGTTGATTCCATTGTTCAAGTGAGGCTTCGTGATGTCTAGCCACAAAATCATGGGTCTCTTAGACACTGACGTTTTTCGACAATAGGCTTCGAAGCACACGCGACGTCTATAAACACACAAAAACATCATATAAAAGAGATCGATGCACGAAATGCCAACTGAAGTCACGGAGAACCATCGAAACGTCGAACAAAGGAAGATAAATAGAGTTCCTGAAAAGCTGTTGTTCACCGTTTAAGCAGAGCACGTCAAAATATTGCCAACTACACGTCACACTTTCCAATATCTTAAATACAAACAAGAACTGTAAATCCTAGTAACAATTACTTAAGTCTTTCAACCACTACTTTGTAATTTTCAGACGTGTTTGCATGAGTAGACAAGGTACGATTTTTAAAGCAATACCAAGACATGCTGTACAAAAACTCTCTAAAGTACAGACAAAGAAAGTTAAAAGTAGTTGTAATTATAAGTAACGTTCGCTAGCAAAAATATAATTGTCAAAATATTAACGTCATTGTATTGGCAGCAGCAACTCGTCTTTCTGAGGGAATCCAATAGTGTTTTACAATAAATTTAGAGTAGTCCCTAATTACCCTAGTATATACACGTACACTGACATTGAAACATCGAAAAATAATTTTATAATAAATAGGGTATATAGATATTGCTGCATGGAATAATGATGATGATGACCATAG